TGAAGAGAGAACGAGGTAGCCACAAGAATGAAATGTATATATGTATTCATAAATTGTATCGGCTCTTATTTCATTTTCCCGAAAAGAAAAGCTTTAATTATGGTTGAGAGAGAGAAGACTTGGATCCTCCAATAGTTTTGGGGGAGGTGGGTAGTTGGATGACCTAATAATATGTGGAAAAATACAATACAACAGAAAATTAAATAATTTACAATTTTGTAAAATAGAGATTTTTTATATATATACTAAGAGTCGGAGTCCACGAAATCGCGGGAAAAAAGTTTTTTGTTAAAAACAATTGAAAATATATTTAATATGATAATAATGTAAATGTAAAACATTTTTTAATTTTTTATGGTAAAAATAAAAAGATGAAAAATATATGCAAACACACGACACTACAAATTATTTTTTAGAATTATAAAAAATTTGTTATAAATGAAAAGACCAAAAAATTATGAGAATGTGAATTAACAACAATAAAAGAGTTTTGAAAAGAAGACACAAATATATGATTAATTGATAAAAACAAAATCTTTTTTTTCGAAAAGAGGCAACCGGATAAGATTTATTAATAACAATTAAAATATTTTTTTTCGAAAAGACGCAACACTAAAATGCATTAATAACCATAAAATGGTTTATTCTCGAAAAGACACAAGCATATAATGCATTATATTTATAAAACGGTTTTTGTAAGATGCAACTTTATGATGTATTAATAACTATAAAATGCTTTTTACGAAAAGATGCAACCATATGAAACATAATAATAATAAAACAGTTTTTTTGAAAAGATGTAATTTTACATAGACCAATTTTTTCAAAAGACGTAATCCAACGATGCATTAATAACCATTAAACGAAATTTCTAGAAAATATGCAATCCTAAGATGAATTATTAACAACAAAACAATAACTATTCAGAAATACAACCTTAAAATGCATTAATAACCATAAAACGGATTTTCGAAAAGAAGCAATCCTAAGAGATATTAATAACTAAAAATAATTTTTCGAAAAGACACAAACCTAATAGACACTAATAACCATAAAAATAATTGAGAAGACGAAACGCTAGCATTAATAACCTAGAATGTAAACTATCAAAAAGTTTTTGGAGAAGATAAATCTTTACATAAACCAATTTATTTATGAAAAGACACAACCCTAAGATGCTTTAATAACCATAAAACCAAATTTTTCGAACAAAATGCAATCCTAGAATGTATTAATAACCACAAAATAGTTTCTACTAAGAAGACGCAATCAAATCATGTATTAATAACTATAAAACGGTTTCTTTAGAAAGCCACAGTTCTCAAGGACAATGCTAACCATAAAAAAATCTAAAAGACGCATCGCATAGAGATTAATAACCAAAAATCATTTTTTTCAAAAACCCAATCATAAGAAATATTAATAACCGTAAAAATTTTTTTTTTTTAAAAAGACGCAACCTAAGAGACATTAATAACCATAAAACATTTTTTCAAAAATGTGTAACCCTAAAAGACACTAATAACCATAAAATATTTTTTCTGAAAAGACAAAACCCTAGCGTTAATAACCATAAAGCGGTTATTTTTTAAAAGAAACAACCCTAAAATATATTTCCCAGGGTTGCTATTATTGATAGACGTTTCTAAAATTATTATTTAAATAAAAAAAAAATATTGTGAGACTCTAAAATAATTTTTGACGTTTTTTTATCACATTGAGTGAATTTTAAAGTTAGTAATCATAAATAAAAAAAACACAAATATATAGAGATTGAAAAACACAAATCTATATAGCAATTTTTTTTTGAAAAGATGCAACCATAGAGATTAAAAATCATAAACGTTTTTTTCGAAATGGCGCAATCCTAAAAGACACTAATAACCGTAAATAGAATATCTTGAAAAGATGCAACTCTAGCATTAAAAACCATAAATTTATGTCAAATGGTATTTTTTCGAAAAAATACAACTCTTGAAAATAACCATAAAATGTTATACTGAATATTTGGAAATCGGTTACTTTTGAAAGGACACAACCACAAAACTGTTATATTGAAAATGCGCAGTCTTTGGAAATAACGATAAAGTGATTATATTAGAAAAACGCTTTGGAAATAACCATAAAAAGATTATTTTCGAAAAAACACAACCATCAAGCGGTTATCTACATATTAAATGCAACATTTGAAAATAATTAGAAAGCAGTTATATAAAAAAGACGCAACCCTTGGAAATAACCGTAAATTAGTTTTTTTTTTCTAAAGGACACAATCTTAAATAACTATAAAGCGGTTATATAAAAAAAGATAACTTTTTGAAAAAGAGGTTATATTAAAAAAAGACAACTCTTAGAAATAATTATAAAGCGGTTATATTGAATAAACACAATCTTTCAAAATAACCAATAAACGATTTTTTTCGAAAAGACATAATTTTTGGAAATAACTATAAAGCAGTTATTTTCAAAATAACACAACCATAAAGCGGTTATCTATATAGTAGATACAACATTTGAAAATAACCATTATACAGTTATATAAAGAAAACGCAACTCTTAAAAAAACGGTTATATAAAAAACACGCAACCCTTGGAAATAACTATTAAACGGTTATTTCCGAAAAGACACAACCTTAAATAACCATAAAGCGGTTATATCGAAAATGCAACTCTTGTAAATCGGTTATATGGTAAAAACGCAACTCTTGGCAAAAAACGTTTTTTCTTCCTCACTCATTTCACGGATTGGAACCATGGCTATTCGTCTAAACAATAGAATAATTCATGGATTTTTACGCAATTTAAATTGATTCATTTTTAATTTAGAATTTTTAAATCGTCCAATGCATATAAAAAAATATAGTTGATAACCAAATTGCTTGTGGATGCCTCTATTTTGTAGTAGTGTTAACGCGATTCAATATTTCGATGTATACAACCCGTAAAAATTTCTTTCAAATATAAAGAATCAATGTTTCCGTAAAAAATTGTTAGATTTTATTAGTTTTTTTTTATATGTAAAACTTGCCGTAAAGTCTACATTGTCTAAAAAATCCAAAATTCTTTACACAAATCAAGAATTTGTGGAACTTTTACAATAGTAAAATTTTTAATACTATTAAATAATTTGAATATAATCGAATGACTTTTTTATCTTTGCTATGTGTTAAGTTAATTACAGAAACAGTAGGCATGATTAACAAAATGTTCAACGAGATAAAAAGTGAAAAGATACACTCCCTCCGTTTCAAAATATAAGTTATTTTAGTTAAAGTCGCGAATATTAAGAAACTACTTTTCTT